AACATCCGAAAATAATAATTAAAACGGTAATTGGAAGGGTTATTCCTTTGGTAAGGGTTAACTCTGTGAAGAGAGTAAACATGTGATTTGATTATGTATTTAATAGAAGATCGGTATTATACTGTTCATTTTTCCTGTTGTTCAAGTCTTTGATAGATAATCGTAATCCAGTATCGGTTGTTTAACATTTTCCGATCTAATCAAGCTCTCCTTTTCTTAAACATGATTTCACGCTTTAAATGTTTATTTTAACACGCTATGTCGATTGCGTAACATTGAAACAAGTTCCTGTTACGTTAAGTTACGGTTTTAGTTTTTCGGTGAATATCAAAAATTGAAGGTGACACCACCTATTGCTACATTTTCTGTAGTGTGAACATCGTCGTTTCATTTTTTAGTTACGACAGCCTGTTTTGTTGACTTCCAAGTATTGCATAATGCATCGGAAAGCAACACGATAAGTTTCATTTAAATAATGATGATGAAAGAAATTGCTACAATATGTTAGACTAGATGACTTGGTACTTTGTATCCTTAATTGCCAGATTGCCGATCTTTATGCATTTATGATAATACCAGACGAATGTGGAGAAAATAAGGAAACGATTACGCTGATTCACATTAATGCCACTTATGTTTACTCGGTGAGCCGTGAGATTTATTCAGTAGATCAAATTGATATTTTACGCAAACGTTTTACTCTTGACAAATTTTTATAATAAATCTCGCCTCGCTTCTTTTTCTATTATGATATAAATTCTCACGGTATTGTTTATTTTCTACATATATATATACATATATATACATATATATATATATATATATATATACCGGTGTAGCACTTAATGCGTTAATACTGTCAACAAAATCAAGGTTCGAAAGAAATTCGTAAAAATTGTTAACGAAACAACAGAAACGGGTACTCTGGCATCCGGTAACCACATGGGATATTTTTATCGTCATATTACTACTAGATATTATTATATTATTACTAGACTACTTTTATGCAAAATAAAGCTGGGAACTGCATAGGCTTTCATTTCTTGTCATGGTAATCTGAATCAATTGACAGTAATCCAGAGACGTTTACAAGTTGTTTATATGTTCTCGCTTTCTTGCATGTGGTCTGTTCATTTTAGTTATAAATGCATAACATCCACAGAGAGAGTCTAATTATTATATTAGCATGACAGTCAACATATTAAACCTTTGCAGTACTCTTAAAGTATCTACTGTGAATATTATCTCAGCGAATCAGATTGTATATCAAAGACTCTGATTACATATATAACAAAATATTGTGAACTTTTTCTGATTACTTAAGATTTCCATTAACACTAGACTCGCGGAATACCAAAACCAGCTGTTCTATGATAGTTTATAAAAGTAACAATACATTAGGCGTTAACGTATTGTACAAATAACGCATAAATGCATCTTTTCAATTTAAATAATCGTAAATTAAAATATTAGAGTAACACGTCATTCTGACGGGTTTCGTGAACCCGGTATTAAATTTATGCTTGCAATTTCTGGAATAGATTCCTGCAGTCTTCGCTATGCCAATACCCGCCAATCAAAGGATCAATACCGTCGAAAAGATCAATCTACAAAAATACCGCGCAAGAATTGTTAACGAAGCCATAGAAACGGGCCTACGGGTCCCCAGTTCCCGCTACAAGGGTCAAAGCGAGCCTTCCCGGTGCTGAAATAGCCAGCTGGGTTCTCGAGGAAGCGAAAACGCGACTCGACGCTTGCTTATCTGCGAGACTCGTGTACCTCGGACAATAGGACGTCGGTTAAAATCGACATCCCCGCGACGACGATGGTATCGGCGGGTATCACGATGACTGGATGGTTCGCGCGACCTCGAAAACCGCGGGTCATCGCGTGGAAGGGAAACAACTGGCGGCTCCGGGCCGGGGAATCACCGGAGAAACCTGTCTACTCGCAAAAATGGGCGCGTGCAGATAATGCCCCGGCGTATTACCGTTATTATGCCGGTCATTTACGTGCTGCGGACGACGATGTTCCCTTTCCTGTGATATCCCGCTAAATTCGCCCCGCGGCGGCCATTCTATGGACGCGTCTAAGCAAACACGCTCGTGTCTCCTCCGGATCTACTATAAACGACACGACATCGATGCTCGGGGACCTACGGGATGATGATGGGTTTTCAATTATTCCCGCCCCGGGACAGAGACATTATCCTCGGCGGACCTTCATTATTCGCGGAAACCTTTGTGTTTCCTGCTGTTCTGACCTTTCCGAGGCCCTGTTCCTCCTCCAGCAACCCTTCGAGGCGCACGTTCCGTCGTAATTAGCTAATGATTCTAGGAAGACGGCAGTCACTGTATCGAACATAATGGGCTATTGTATTCTCGACTGAACGTATTAGGTTGTACGGCAAGTGATTAAATTATTTTATCAATAAACTCTTTGAGTGGAGACGACGAGTCTCGCGCCGCAAACATTTTCTGTGCCGAACTCGGATTTCGATGCTCGTCGTATATTTAAATGCTGAAAAATCGTATCAATTTCGTCCAAATGTTGAACAAAATTGTTACGATGTCTACACATCTCGCCTCTTTTTCTATCTAAAATCATATTATTATAGTTATAATGAATCGTTAGAAAATAAACGATATTGAAAAGGAGCTTAAATAGTTTCCAAATTATGTTCGCAATAATTTCAATCATGTTGAGAACCTTTTTTTCTTGATTTCATTGTAATTTAAAAAGGATACTTTTCAATTTGTATTCAGTATTAGTGTTACTTTATACATCGCTGTTCTGTCACAAATGAAATAGTGTCAGCATTCGTATGAATATATTAAGTAAAACCAGAAATATTTTACATTTATTTTCTGACAACGTTTCTTTGCAAATAAATCGTAAGGCAAGAGGTTAAAAGCAAAACGAGCGTGCAATTTCAATGTTTCCATTTTTTGCATATTGCATCGACATCATTGAATAAAGTTTGCTCCGCGTATTAAGAAGTCGTCTTTCATTTTCCCTTGGAAAAGCAAAATTAGTTTCCGAACAACCTGATAGATCAGAGTTAGAAATTTGCTTCTACAAATTACCAAAGATGTTAAAATCATTTCTTTCTACAATATAATCTGAACTTCTAATTAATCTTGTAATTCGTGCAGATACATGTTACAGTACCGTGTGGAATCTGTAAAAGGAGACACCTTGACGAAATATCATCGCAGAATCATCTCTAACAATTTGGTAGATGTATGATTCACGAAGACAGACTGCAAATACAGTTTCTACGTTTCGTGGTGCACACCTTTCCGTGTTTCTTAAGGCAATCACTGTAAGATGGAAGACGTTCTAATTACAATATGCCGTGAACAGGAATGTCGAACGAAAGAGGTTTCCGCGGGGAATGTAGAACGAATCGCGTGACGATTCGAACATGTTCTATGTTACACACACCATGGCCGAAACGCATGCCTTCGGGGAAACCGACGTGCCCGTTTCTACGTAAATAAGGTGTGTGGAAATTATTGTCCGGTAAAATAGTTTCCTGCCACTCCGCGAAACACGTTTTCAATCGTCTCCATTCAACTGTGGTTTCGTTTGCGAGGATTCGACGCACGAATGTCGGCGATGCTTCAACCCATCCAAATGTGCACAATAGTTCCAACGTTGTGGCTACAACGTTTTGTAAATCCTTTGACACCTTGTCCATAGTTTCATATAGGATCTTAGTTTCATATAAATCCGCAATTCGCAACTCCAAAAGGCTCCGCAAGATCCGAGCAATTTCTGAGACCGAAATCTCTTAATTAATTAAAGTTCCTACCTGATTAAAGTTCCAGAAGGGTTTAAGTATATTCTCAAAAATCACTAAAGTACCATTAAACAATAACGTTGCGCCCAGCCTCCGTTTTTTATAATTAAAGTAGGAAGCTCCTATTTTGCTGCAACCGAAACAATCGTTACGCAGAACTTGCGAGACTGTCACAGTAAAAATCCGTCACCGTCGTGTATCGGTGATCGTTTGTACGCATTTATAGATCCAATTTGTTAGTCAATTGTACAGAGTGAAGTAGGGTCGTTGGCCACAAGATCAGCCGATCGTGGAAGGCTAAAATAAATGTCAGACTATAACCAGCGACATGCACCTAGGATCGCTAAGACCGATAGGATACAAATGATTGCACTATTGATAGCTCCATCCTGATCTCGTCGAATTCGCTGTACAAATTTAGATCCGAACCGATCAATAACTTCGTAATTTTCACCGTACTTAACTTGCCGGCGAAGACAAGCGATAACTGTTATTATCGTTGCTTTCTCGTTTGTGTGATGATTCCATTAAGATACGATATTGGGAATTGATTCTGACATTTCGTCACGTGGCTACATAAATAGGCCGTCATTAGCTCCATCATTAGGTATGATAATTACGCAGGAGGAACGATTTAAATGAGCACACCTGGACATTATTATAGTTTGTGTTCTTGTTTAAAAGGAGTTCACCCGGCACACAGGCACGGTAACCTGCGAATCTCGCCGCGACTATCACATTCGCATTAACCCAGATTGAAGGCACATTTCTATTGCATTCCCGCCATAGATAATTATCTATGTAATTAGCGAAATAAGTATTCTCTCTGTTCAAGTAGCCCGACGTTACTTCCCAGCAACAGCGCCCGATGAAACAGTTCATTAAAACGACAATTTGCTTAAAGATCCGCGGTCTGCACAGAATCATCGTGCGAGATAATGAGGACAATACGAGACCATTAAGATCGGAAATGAGAAATAACAGCAATAATATTCGCGGTTAGAGGCTATCCTATATAATTAGATGGTATTGTATACAATCGAACGTAATTAGAAACCATCGTACGCAATTAGAAGCTTATAAACACGATCATTATTCCTTTCACTTCTCATTGATAGTTTTAATGGTGGTGCATACAGTAGATACGACTGTTCGTGTGCCTAGAAAAATATGAAGATGGCCGTTCGATTCCTACCTTCGACTGATCTTGCTGTTGCAGCAATTGTTCCCTGAGCAGCTGCAGCTGCAGTATCATCTCGGACAGCCTCCGTTCCTTCTCGGCTAGGCTTTCCTCGCACAGGACCCTGTGCAGAGCCGATGCACCGTCCTGCTGCACCTGCGTCTCCGTGTTCTGCATCCTTCCGGAGGCTGGCGGTGAAGGCGCCACGCTGTTCGGCACGCTGGCGACGCTCCCGCTGCAACGTACGCCATCGAATCATGGTTAATTACCTTCCTATTTAATATATCATGATATTAATGTAAATCATTTGATATATCTTGTTTAATTTAACAAGGCTACTCTCGTGGCCCACCGTTCGATTTCTCCAAATATGATTTTGTACAATGCCATCAACACATTGAAGATCCTAAAGATTGACACGTTCTTAAAAACGTTAATGAATTTTTTTCGCGATCGAACTTAATATTAGTTTGAAGATCGAAGCTCCCTCTTTGCAACGGATCCTCGAAACTTGGTGTACGATTTTTTCTAGAGCGCATATTAGCGCATCCGAGTGTAGATTACACTTGTCAATCGCTCAATGTACAGCGTAATTTACTCTAAAAATCGTTGAGAATTTAGGTAATTGCTAGCTTAGTAAAATCGTTAAGCATCGCATCTTTATCCGAAGATCTCGACTGTATCGCAATATAATTCTAGCAACCAATTGTTTACATCATAAAAGAAATATTCGATTTCCCAACCCTTGAACGACGGGCCATTTTCACAACTGCACCATCGACGATGTTTACAACAATCCTGAGTTATATTCAGCAATTTTTCCAAACATATTTTTGAAGATATTTCTGGCAGACTCATTAGCCTTTTCGATGTAACAGCAATTTCTTTTATTTAATTGCCGAAAATTCAGTAGTCAAGCGAACAATTAAATACTCCGGGTGAAAATTGACCCAGCCACCACCTTACAAGGGTTAAGAGGTTCGAGACAGACGATGTCCTTACGATCTTGAACCAGAAAGACGACGCAGAAGATGAAAAGACGATCGAAGTGCTATCGTCTGCCAAGCGAGAGCGGAGAAGACGACCCTAAAGGACCACCCTAAAATCGCTATCATCGGCTCGGCCGGCGATCGTCCGAGGGGCGGCCTTTAAAATTCGTCGGTCCCTTTAACGGGGTGACCCTGTGACGCCATAAGCGACACCATACGCGCGTCGGCAAGCGTATATTGCCCCAGATTCTCGGCACCGGCAGCGTCCGCTCGCGCACCGTAGGCGGTTTCGTCCTGAATCGCGTCCTTCACGAGAGCGAGAGAGCCGGGGATCTCTGCGGAGCCCATCGCGGCGGCTGGTCCCAGCACAATGCGTCCGTATCACTTATTCGTGGTCCATTTTCCTCCGCATAAAAGAGGAACGAGAGCTCCGGGCGGTTACCGGGAGGGCACTCCTGCCTTGGTGGGAGGGAGAAGAAAAATCCGCTGGATACTTGCGCGGGAATGAGAGAGAACTACGGAGAGCTAGAGAGAACTAGAGAAAGAGAAAACTAGAGAGAGAGAGAGGGAGAAAGGTGGTCAGGGGTGAGAAAGAGCAAGAGCACCCCATCACGGGAGCAAACACTCGGGCCTGCCGTGATTGCACGGCCGCGACCCTATCTATTATTCACCTGGCTCCCAGCAGACCCGTGCGCGATACTACCGCTGTATATCGTTCCAGGAGCCCTCGGAGATCATGCTGGTAGCCTCGCGAACTAGCCTGATCCTCACCTATTAGGTCATCGCATAAGTCGTGACGTTTCTTATCCGCTTCTTGCATTTTTCTATTGTTTTTGTTCGGGAGCTTGTGTTGTGGCGACTGAGAGTTCCAATGAACGAACGATTCTCAATGCGCGGTCACGAACGCGTGACAAGTAGATAATCGATCGAGATTTGTTTTTGTTTAAAGTTCAGCTAACAGTATGTGGCGACGGAACGCGCGTTTGTTGACATTGGACTGCGGATCTTCGCGCAAAATAAAAATTCTGCAGTTACTGCAAGGTACAGGAGCTTGGCAGACATTTGTTTCTTTTCTGAATAATTTTAACGAGTTACGATATGAAAATACGATGAAACAATGCTTTTAAATTCTTGAAATGTTCTAAATTTGTGACGAATTTGATCCACTAATTTTTGTCGTGGATGCATAAAATCCGCGGTTCAGTTATACTCGTTGCACGTGCAAGTGCATTCATTTAATAATTAAGTTCTTTTATGAACTACAGTCGTTAATTTCTTTATTTTCTATATTGTCGTTCAGCGAAGATGTCAAGTTAGAAGTGTAGTGTGAAATGAAATTATCTATTGTGATTGTAAAGGAGGACTCTTTGCATTGAAGAACTTTGAATCTATCGACAGGCCTTTTAATATAATTGGTTTAATATTGAAATTAATTACTAGTGCCAGAGGGTTTCGTAATTCTCTTCAATATTTTGCTGTTTACCAGTTTACATTTTCTGTTCCTGATTACAAACTATGGTCGTAGTCTCCTAAAATTCAGAATCACTGTGCCAACGTCTAAAAAAAACACGTAACGAGCTTTTTTATCTTCCTATGAATGCAACATGCAACTGAGGAATTAACGAGACAGTAATGACGTTTTTCAATATCGATACATATGTATATGTAGAGCACATTATAAACACGCATATGCATGAAGATGTGAATCTCAATCGCAATCTTAAAAGTAAAAAGAGCTGTTCGCATGTAATCAGGGCTAACTACTTCTCAGTATTGGTACAAATAACCGGAGAATCTCTTAAGAAATTAATCGAATGATACAGTACAATGAAATTAAAAGGTTTACGCATTATGATTACATATATGTCTTCTTTCTTAGATATTCACTTTCTTTAAATCTTACATATTCACACATCGGAATTGTGAAATTGAAAATCCAATAGATAGATCGACGAACTTTCACGAACTTTTCAGTACGTAATAAAATCCACGAGAATGTCTAAGTTCGAATGAATCGAAATGGTAAAGTAGGTCGTTTTAGTTTCGGTAACCTTTAACTATGGAAATGAATTCTCACGTTCAATCTATTTTCTTGTCACAGTGAAATCGTCGCGTTGTCTTGCTACCCAAACCAATTCAGATCTTATATCAATCCAAGTAGCACCATCCAAATTTCATTTATAATATATGGAGCACTCGGCGAGTGTCACTAGAATTGTAAGAGCGTTCATTTTCTTTTTGCACGATACAATTTAACGATCAACTACAGCTATGTCGTTAATGTTTAATTGCACCTGTTTGATTACTAAGCTGATGATCTACGTTCACTGTTCTTGCTCGCGATGCTCATTTGGTACGAAAGTGTTAAATTAAAATTGAAAAATAATCTTCGTTTCCGGGAATTGTTCTGACAACGATCTCCAATATGAAAAATCAAAATGTCCAACGATGGAGACGGAGACGTTAGGATGCGCGAAAGTTACCGAGATCTACAAAATGCATTTTTTAAATTTTTCCTATACGCTCGGATCAAAATATTAACAAATGAGTCTGTTTACAGTAATATCTCCCTAATTGACGCTCGGATTGTCCACAAAAATGGACAATTCGGAAAGAGGAGATACTGTCTCTTATACACATCTAGATGTGTATAAGAGACAGGCTCGGATCAAAATATTAACAAATGAGTCTGTTTACAGTAATATCTCCCTAATTGACGCTCGGATTGTCCACAAAAATGGACAATTCGGAAAGAGGAGATATGATTGTTCGAGTCTTGCTCGTTTTTTATGGTAATCGATTGTCAACAACTATAAAAACGAGCTTCAAGGCTCGAATAATCGTATCTCCTGTTCCCAAATTGTCCATTTTTATGCATAATGTGAGCACAATTTTTATGCACAATCTGAGCGTCAGTTAGGGAGACTGTACTGGGAAATTTTAGGAAGACTCATCGAGGTATCGTTTAAAGATCGATTTGTAAAAGAAACTAGCGATTGCGTAGCATTGGTGCATTATTCGGAAAATTCGGATTCAGAAAATTGACATTTTAGGAATCGAGCAGCAACCTGAACCGCAAGTTGACAAAGCAGAATGATAAAATCTAAAAGTCGAACGTCCGTAGTTTTTATAATTGTTGACAATTCGTAACTATAAAAACGAACCGCAAGGCTCGAATAATCGCGTCTCCTCTTCCCAAATTGTCTATTTGTGTGCACAATCTGAGCGTCGGTTAGGGAGACTGTACTGGGAAATTTTAGGAAGACTCATCGAGGTATCGTTTAAAGATCGATTTGTAAAAGAAACTAGCGATTGTGTAGCATTTGTGCATTATTCAGAAAATTCGGATTCAGAAAATTGACATTTTAGGAATCGAGCAGCAACCTGAACCGCAAGTTGACAAAGCAGAATGATAAAATCTAACAGTCGAACGTCCGTAGTTTTTATAATTATTGACAATTCGTAACTATAAAAACGAGCCGCGAGCTTCGAATTCGCAAGGCTCCTCTACCTAAATTGTCCATTTTCGTGGACAATCTGAGCGTCAATTAGGGAGACATTTCTATCGTGATTCCAAGTACAGTAATGTCTCTCTAATTGACGTTCAGATTGTCCATAAAAATAGACAATTTAGGAAGAAAAGATACGATTATTGGAGTCATGCGGTTCATTTTTATAGTTACGATTTGCAACAACCATAAAAATGAGCTGCAAATTTCCAAATTGTCCATTTTTATGCACGATCTGAGCGTCAGTTAGGGACACATAACTGTAATATCAAAATTTAAAAAGAGAATTTTAACCCTTGATCGGCGAACCTAGCAAGCACCTTTGTCATTTAAAAAACAAAATTCAAGTCGTTCGATCCGGTTCGAAAAAAGTTATCGCGTCCTAAAAGGTGTTCGAATATTTTTTGCCAGGTGTAGTAAATACTTCCGAATACTAAATTAATTGCACGAAGGCGATAATTCCTTGAGGACGAACGGAAGCCGCAAACGAGGCGTTACGGTGCAGCAAGAGGGTGAAAACGAAACAAGGTGGGAGGCGGACAGGCTAGAAATGAATTCCGCATTGTGCGGGGGAGGGAGGGAGGGATTTAATTAGACGTTACAGTGCGCACGTTTCTCGCGGTTCACCGTCCCGGGAACAAAAATCGTGCATCGTGAAACCGTTACTTATCGAGGAACGTCTTTTATCCTTGCACGCTCTCATGAAAGGCCCTTGCTGTGCGTGGCTTTCTTTCAGG